AATCACAGCAATATAGAAGTACATGTACAGAGATTAGTACCAGAAAATGATTATGTACATGAGATAGTTTATCTCTAGATATAACAAGTATTATACACACAAAAAACACTATTGATGCTCCTGTTCTAATAACAGATTACCAACACTACAGTTTTGAGAGGAAAACAATGTTCTGTCAACATGTTCATAGCACTTTTCATGATGGATAACACCCATCACTCTATACATCTAGCTAGGCAAACAAATGGTATTTATGTCAATAGAGTCATATCCTGTTATGATGTTATCCAACCTTAAAATAATGCTTGGGTGGTAGTAAGACTAAGAGGTTTTGCTTGTAATGGAGAAAATCCTGGAACGAAGGAATGGTAAACACATTGGGTGTTCCTCACACATGACATTTCTAGGGTATGGTTGTGTATTTAGCATGTGCCATAGTCAACAAGAGGGGTGTTGGTTTGTATGGAATGTTAATCACTGTTCTGGGATACCCATTTGTGAGGAGAAGGATTGATGATAAACTAAGCACTGGAGGGAGGAAGATAAGAAAATGTAAATGTGCTTGCAATTTAGCCAGGCTGTTTTCAGATAAAAACAAACTCCTGAGTTGGAATTTAATCAGCCCTTTTGTGTGAGTTTTAAACACCAGAAGCACATGTGGTCCAGAAGAAGGTCTAAACTGTTTATCACCAATCCTGAACCTGAATCATGGCTCAAGTTGAACACAATGTTTATTCACTTGAAATAGCCTACTTTCTGGACCAGACTATTTTGGATAAACATCACAGTACAGTGCCAGTGTCTTGAGTACACATCAATTGATTGATAAAACAAACATGGTTAACATTTTATTTCCCTCTCCCTCTGCCAGATTCAGTTTTTCATTGATTGTGAACCTTATATACGAAGATTAATCCAGGCTATAGGAATGGAGATGCCTGACAGCTGTGGCAAACATGACAGATCCAGTGGAAATAATTAAAATATAGCCTATGTAACCCAAGCTGGGGGGGGGGGGGGCTCCCTACATAGTCCGCCACCGGGCCCGGCTGGATGTTGGGCGGCCGGCAAAAGCGATTTAATCAGGCTAATTAAAATATATATAAGGAAAAAACACCTCAAGAACTTAATCATTTGGTCAATATTTATTGGGACCAATTGATCAACACTCCCAGTGTTGTTTGTACTACCCTGACATTTACAGTGTTTGGAGGGATGGGATTTTAAATATAATCGGCCATTCTGAGAAATGAATCCATGAAGGTAACCATGGTATTTCAGATGAGAAAATGTAACTTGTCATATAAATCCCAATGAGCAGTTAGTCAAAATGCCATACAGGCCACTTTGATTGCGAAAGATATGACATTTATGATTACTATAACCAGCATATGCATTATGTATTCACAAGTGCTTTATTGCTATTCTTAGAAGACGATGTTGAGGATTTTGAAGTTGGTTCATTGGTGTGGATAGTGGAATTGGTGTGAATGTTGAAATGACATCACTCACAGTACATTTGTACATGTACATTCAATCAAATCCTTGCACTTCAGGACTGTCCCCAGACCTTCAGTCCATGGAGCAGATCCGCCGCATCATGAGGCCGACTGATGTACCGGACACAGGTCTGTATCTACATACTCAGACTATGACCCTGTTCACATTCATTTTTTCTATTCGATTAAAAGGGCTATCTGAATAGAAAATTGTCTATCTGAATCGACACCGAATCCACAAGAGCGTTCACACTACTTTTCGAAAGAATTGCCATATCACTACGTCATATTTTCACCAAACATTTATATGTATCACGAGCCTCGCTTCGTAAACTCATATTTCACAAGAAAATTTTACCAAGCTGCCACCTTCCCACTTCTCACGTACTGGAAACATTCCCACTACAAATTACCAGGTAAGATCACGTCAAAAAATAAAACAAAACGCCTCTTTTCTTTCAATCACGAGACAAATAGTTTTGAAAAATAACTTGCTGCATCTTAGCTTTCATTGCTGTTTCATTCAACAAAAGTTCTCGTTGATTGTAAAATGATCACTCATCTGTTGTCTCCAGTAGAGTATCAACGGTAACGTTATTATAGCTTGCCAAAAATCGGCGTCAAACGTCAGAAAATCCGTGGAAAAGAAACTCGTAACACATATTCTCTCCTGAAAAACAGGGCGCCATTTTCTCATTAATATATGTAAATAGCAGCCGCGTTCTACGCTCTGATTGGTAAGACTGCCAGCAATGATGTAACACCGCCGAATCCAACTCGGAAGTCAATTCACTTTGCGTTCACACTCGCGGTTTCGTCTGATTCGAATCCGCCGCAAGTGTCTCAGACCTCCTCCCGAGGTGGATTATTTTGGAATTGAATTGGGTAAAATCTAAGTGATTTGGAGCGTTCACACTCGGATAGACAATTTTCTATTCGGATAGCCCTTTTATTTAAGTTTTAATCGAATAGAAAAAATGAATGTGAACAGGGTCTATAGTTGTTTTGTGAATGAAATCTTGACAGCTGTCACAATATGTTTTTACAATTACAGGTACTCACAATGACTGAAACACAGTTTTGTTCTATTTTTTTAAAACTAGTAGTGTAGTAAATTCTGTGGAAGACTAGAACATGAAAAACTTGTTATACATGTACTTCCCCCTATTATGTCAGTTTTGTTAGTCAGCATTCTAATTTTTATTTGATGTAAAATTGATTTGTTTTTTCAATGGTACATGTACATGTAGGTTGATGTTTTTCAACACTCAATAATGACAACATTGTTTACACAAGGTATCTATGATTGCAGCTCTTGGTTTGTTTTTTTACTTCCGGAAGTATTTTTGACATGATAGAAAAGATGTCAGTCAGTGAAGATACTGTGATACTATGATCCCCTGCAGGTCTCCTGTGTGACCTGTTGTGGTCAGACCCAGACAAGGATGTTCAGGGCTGGGGAGAGAACGACCGCGGAGTCTCCTTCACATTTGGTGCAGACGTAGTCAGTAAATTCCTCAACAGACATGACTTTGACCTAATCTGCAGAGCACATCAGGTGGGTGTGAAAAAGTATACGATCAAGGACCAATTTGTGTATGTCAAATAAATACTACCATGAAGCAAATATCCTGATGATCTTGAAGTGAAAATTCAGGGGACATTTGAGCCTTTTTTTTTAGCACAGTTATAATGTTATCTTATAATGTTATACTATGCAGGGCTCAAAATACTTTTTTTCAGGTACGTGCAAAATTGCATGTTGGCAAAAAATGTTTCATATTGCACATGAGTATTTAAAGCCCTGCTATGTTTGCTCGTAGTTGGCTTATGCAAACTTACAACTGTCCATATCTTTAGAGGTGTTTGTTCTTTCTAGGTTGTAGAGGATGGTTATGAGTTCTTTGCCAAACGTCAGCTGGTAACGCTGTTCTCTGCCCCAAACTACTGTGGGGAGTTTGACAATGCTGGAGGCATGATGAGTGTGGATGAGACCCTTATGTGCTCCTTCCAGGTAAGAATGTTTCACTATGCTACTGGCAGCAAATTGACACAACACTGCCAACAGTTTTTGTAGAATTTGAAGGCAGTTAAGATGGACAATCTGTTTTTTCCACGCTCTTACACTATTTACCTTCATTATTCTTCTGCCTTTGTAGTTCAGCTCATTGAAGTTTATTGGACAGTAATTGTTTTGCTCAGTCAGGACGGACTCTACTGCAAGCTACAAGGCCCTACCTGGTGTGATTGAATCTATGAAGTACATGTAATATTGAATTTCATACGAAGCAGAATGAAAGACTTTATAAGCTTGTGGTATGGTGAAGTAAATCAGCTTAATGATTGTGAAATTTTGCTTTCAGATTCTGAAGCCATCAGAAAAGAAGGCGAAGTACCAGTATGGTGGCCTGAATTCTGGCCGACCTGTAACACCCCCAAGAACCGGCTTGCCTGGCAAGGGCAAGAAGTAAAACTCAAGTGGAGAAAATTATTTACTCTCATTAGTGTTCTTGTGTACCTGTGGACCCTTAACTTTCATTTGGATTTAAGTCATATTGTATGTTTTTATGGAGGGGACTTCATCATTGTACAGCACTTGGACTATGACATTTGTACAAAGATAAGGCAAGGCATTTGCCTTCACATATCATCTTAATCATCAGAACAGCTTGTAGCATCCCCAGGGAGAACAAAGTGACACCTGGGGGGACCGCTGGATAGTTGTCAAGCACCACAATGTCTATGTCAGTGTGTTGACGCATAGCAAATTTCAAATCATGATTTTATGTGGTATTTTTCTTTCCAATCTTACTAGCTTGACTGAGAGGACGTGAAACAGTTGATGGTATTTGATAGAAGGGAGGGTGGGAGTGTTGACTTAGGTAGAAGGCAAGAGTGAGAGAAGAGAAAATTGGAAGTGGCAGGTACATGTACTTATTGTCAAGTGGACAAGAGCAATGTGATCCATTCAAAGGAGAGTATTCTTCTCTGGTGCACAAATATTCCTTTCAGGTGAAAGTTGTAAAGAGGATCAGATGCCCAATGCTAAATTCCATTCAAACCAAGAGCCATATATAACATGTACTTGAACAGAACCATAACTTGTGTCAGAGAAGTTTATCTGTCTGTATCAGCTTGCCCTTGATTCAGTGGGACCTTGAAGTGGTAATGCACAGAGCCATCAAGTATTTCTCTGTGTAAGTCGAGTGTGCAGATTCCTTGCATGAAAGGGCACTAGATGAATCCCACTAGATTACATTCATGAAGGTAGAATGCCTTGCAACATGTGTTCTACTTTGATGATAGCATTGGAATAGGAGACATGGCCACGGAAGGCCATGATAAAAAAATTGTATAGAGTAGTGATATTAGGATGTAGTTCAAAATATTGATATCTATATAGTGAGTAAGGATACTACTGATGCAAAGCATGAGAGACAGATTTTATTGAGGATAATTAGAAGATAGAAGTATGTAAGTTAAAGTATAAAGAAACTTGTCTTTCATCTTAACACATCACAGGTTCCTTACCAGTGAAAGAGGTCTGTTCTTAACTGTATCCCATGCATTACTTCTCAACCTGGACAAGTTAACAATGTAGATGCAGTTCAATATTACATTACATATTGTGTTTATTAGTTGAAGCTTCCAAGAGTTGTAGGCATAAGGTTTGCTTTTGCATATACATGTATTGTTAATTGCCATCTCTTCTGTTTCTTTTTTTTTAATAACTGTGTTACATACAAAAGATAGCAAGTCTTAACTGAAATGATAGCAAAGACTATTTGAAAAAGTGCCCAAGACAAGGCAGCTACGAGTGTAGCAAGTATATGATGTTATTTCTTACTACAGGGGAGCCTGTATGTGTCTTTCAAGAGTTCCGCATTGTTTTCTGAAGATGAGTAGCTGTTCACATTTTTTGCAGAAAGCAATTTTTAACCTTTGAACACAAGACACTGAATAAATAAAATAAATAAAGACACTGACACTTTTATGCCACCAGCTTTACCACAGAACTTAATCTTAATGTTCTCAGTCTGAAGTAAAAGAAATTTGTCACTAGGAGAGAGGAAAAAATATGTTTTGGTAGAAATATAGATGTATCTCATGGCATCAGACATGTTTGGCATACTAGTATTTAAGTCCCAATTGGTCACCACCATCACCATGTACTGTACTTTTTGTTTGCAAATACAATGTACTAGTGTCACATGTTAGAGGGAATGAAATGTTTGTCCTGTTCAATGCTGTATTCTATTGCCAGTACACCAGAAGTACATTGGTGGTCACAGAGAAAGCCTTACATTTGAACAAGTATGTGTGGTGATCGTAGAACATTTCGAATAGCTTACTTTACTTTTGATTTCAAACAACATGTCTACTTGTATGTGCATGCTTTTGCATGATATTTTTAAGGCAGAAGGCTTGTAGATGCTTCATTGCCTAAAGATTGTTAACTTTCTCTAAATGCATGTGCCATAATCTAAACTTGTAAAAATAAAAATAAGCAATGTTCATTCTTCAGTCTGGACTGCAAAAGTGATGAAAGGTTAATGTGAAAAGGAAAATAGATGGGTTGAGAAGTACAACTGTATGTAGATTGTGTGTTATTTTTGTGTGAAACACTCTGAATTATACTGTAGAGCTTAGGTGTTATCTTGAGACAACACCAGTTTTGATTTTAAGGATAGCTTGCTATGATAATTATACAATGTATATCCCTACAGTAAGAGAAATGTGGGCATTAATTGTATACATGTATTACAGATGCTTTTCTTATGACCAGTGATTTCATTGGAAACTGGCAAAAAAGTTAATCAATATGACCTCATTTCTTTGTGACTGAAGGATTTTTCATGCCTTGTAAACTCTCCTGTTTCAGTGTTACATCAGTAGAATGTTAAACTTCAGGATTGAACTGATGTGGCCTTTGGGTTTCCCTGCCCCTGTTGAAACCTAGCTATAGTTGAATTGTTACATTTGTTTCTGAGACTGCAGCATGTAACTTTGTAGAAGGGATGTCCTTGGGAAGTGTACATACTGTGTTCCATGCAATGTGTACAGGTTTCACATCTCTCTAATGTTGAACCTTTGTGATGACTGGACATTGAGAGTAAAAACAATCACTTGTAGTGCACATGCACTGGAATAAAGGGACTGGAAAGCAATTTGTGTCATGTGATAAAATCCACTGCAGAAGCAAAATATGAGGTTTTTTAGAAATTATGGGAGGCAAACCATTGAAAACATGAAACCATCACGTATATTCATGTTAACATTAATAATTGGAAATTTGAGAAATAATTTGACTATGCAGTAGATCCGTCTATGAAGGTTAGACATCCAGGTGATACAATACGCCAAAAGTGTAACGTTACAAGTATGCTATGTTTACAGATGTAGTAATTTGCCATTCATAGTTGACATGTCCATTTGCGCATGCCATGGTGATGGTGTTTGGGGCACAGCCCCCTGTCAGTTGCCAAACATAATGACATCACATACATCCGGGAACTCTGTTGTAATCACAGAGTGATGCAAGATGGCGGCTCGATTATGAAAATAGAAGGTCCTTGGACCTATTTCGGCAGCTTGCAACATTTCTGTGTTGCTTGTAGTTTGATAGACGGGATGCTACGAGGGTAGAGGAGTCATGGATCCTATGTGCAGCCTGTTCGGGGACGAGAGCGAGCCAAGGTCGGAGAAAAAGAAGCGGCGGCCCTCCAGACCTACCAGCCTGGACCTTAGGCCCCGGCTCCCGCCTGAGGTAAATTTGCCGGTCGGCGACATAGAATTGCTTATCTTCGGCGGTATGCATGGTATAATGTAGCAGAATATGCGTGTACAGAAAATTGATGACATTTTTGTGAAACTGACAGCACACACGTTGTTTCTTGCAATGACAGTGTTGTTATTTTGTGGTGGTGAGTTGGGGGGAGGAGCTATATAAAAGGGTCGACATGACCTACATAGATTTGCCACCCAGACTGCTCATCTATATGTTTGCCACTGTTTCCATCCAAAGTCCCCTTTTCACAAGATGAAATGCCCAGAAATAAGTTGCTTCATCGTCCGCTGTTACGCATTTGCCCGTTGTGCTAGGTGACTTGACGCGTCGCTAGGGTGCGTGTATAGTGACACGTAACACTAGCCAGGGTCGCCAGTGTTTTCAAACAAAGGGCCGTGATTTGTGACACCGGCAGGTGTAATTTTAGCAGGTAGTACTCAAGCCTCTTTTCAAGGGTCCGCGGTCTTTACACGATGTTCTGTCTTTCTTCCAGGTTGAAGAAGGCAATGTTGAGTACAAGGTACGTACCAGAATATTGTGATACCGTCCAGTGTTGGTAAACAGTTGCCAGTCAGTATTTGCTGACGTTCCCAGCATACCAAGTTTCAGTATTTATAGCCTCCAGAAACCGTATGACATTCATGATGGACGTAGGAGAACTTATTGGTTACAAAATCTAATTTCTCTTGCATTTAGATTGTATCTTTCATCATCTCTTGAGGACAAAAGGAAGGCAAAGCTACCTACTCGCTGGTGCAAATAATTTCCTTGCAGTAAAACCATTGCAATGTATCAGATAATTTTCTAAACTGGGGTCTGTAATGTTTTGTTGCTTTCATGTTTCTAGACCTCAAACTAGTTACTAGTACTTAGACTAGTGAAAGCAGCACACTTAAAGGGACAATGGTGTTTGTTCAAGGGGATTCATCTATAGTATAGATGGTGTTGCTATGCATTGCATCACACCACACAAGTGATTGTGCAATATAACTGATTGTTTGAGCCTTTGTTTATTGCCCACTTGTTTCATCACCCCTGAAGACTGGGCTAGAATGGTTTTGATTCCAACTTTCACACAGTTGTCAAGCCAAAATGTAAAACACAATACTCTGTCACAAAACAGTATTTTAAATCTAAATATCACATACTGGTTAGAAGATATTTTTAGTAAATCTCAGCCACAGTAATCCAACCTTGCATGACTCGAACACCAGCTGAAGCTGCTGAACCCGTCTCCATCCCGGTTTGAACACCTGGTGACCCAGATGAAATGGCGGCTGCAGGAAGGCGGCGGTGAGGCCATCTATGAGATCGGGGTGGAGGACAGCGGGATGATGGCAGGCCTCACAGAGGACGAGCTCAAACGGTCCCTCTATACCCTCAACAGGATGGCAGAGAAGTAGGTGTTTATACATGTACTGTGTTATTTTGCTATGGTCTCATCTCATACAAAGTACACTTACATCATACGGCAACTATGCAATATAATCTATGCACTAGTAGGTCACATAAATGTTCCCAATACAAAGTACATGTAATAACCTGCATCTCTTTGTAAAGTGGTTGAGGCAACACTTCAAACTTTTAAGTTCAAAAGTGACAAGCACATGATTTTTTGGTACAGTTGATTTAGTCAATGATGCATGGGCAGCATGGCTACCGTTCATATTCAGTAACATCTTATTCAATGATGTCTTCACTAGACTTGGTGCTACCACTTCGATCCTAAGAGAGAGAGACATTGAAGGTGATGGGGAAATTCGCAAGGCAGCAGAGGTGCTGGTTAGGAAAGTGCCTGATGATCAGCAGGTGAGCTTGTGTACAATGGTATTTTCTATCGTGTGTAATTAATCATTTCTCTCAAAGAAAGGAGTTTCTAGATTACATGTACATGTATATCATTGTTGAAGGCAGCACAGAGTTTAGCAGAGGATGTGATTTTACTGTAAAGAATACCATTGGTTTGTTTCCCATGTAGTTCCTAGACTTGCGCTTGGCTGTTCTGGGGAATGTGGATGCAGGGAAGAGTACTCTGCTGGGTGTCCTGACCCAGGGGGAGCTGGACAATGGGCGAGGTCGAGCCAGGCTCAACATGTTCAGACACCTGCATGAGATCCAGTCTGGGAGGACCTCCAGCATCGGACATGAGATTCTGGGTTTTGACAGTCATGGAAATGTAAGTTCAGCTGTCTTAACTGTCTTGTAATGATTGTTACTTTAATGTGACTGTCATTTCCACTCTCTACTCCTTTGTTCATGTCTCTTGTGAAGCCTGAAAATTAGTAGTTGTGCTTCCAAACTAAGAAGTCAGTGTAAATACCGGTATGGCTTGCAGTAACTTAAACCACACATGTATTTAACATGATGGCACATCCTGTTCACAGGTCATCAACTACAACGAGAACCGCACAGCGGCTGAAATTTGTGAGAGTGCGTCCAAACTGATCACCTTTATCGACCTTGCGGGTCACCAAAAGTACCTCAAAACCACTATATTTGGGCTGACAGGCTACAACCCTGACTACACTATGCTAGTCATCAGTGCTAACACTGGGATAGGTAACAGCACTTTGTATTTATGTATAAATAATTCTATACAAATTACAAGATTTTTTTACACATTAGTTGAAACTGCCTATATTCTTGGCAAAGGCTCTGACATAAACCGACCATTTATTGACAGCATTGGTGCAGAGGTTTTCATGTTTTGTATGCTTCTTCCCTGTCACAGTTGGGATGACCAAGGAACATCTTGGCTTGGCACTAGCCCTGAAGCTGCCCATCTTCATCGTTATCAGCAAGACTGACCTGTGCTCTGCAGTGGTGACAGAGCGCACACTGAAACAGGTGGAGCGAGTACTGAAATCTCCTGGTTGTAACAGGATACCTCTCAGGATAGAGAATGAGGATGATGCCATCACTGCTGCTGCTAACTTTAACACTGACAGGTCAGGATGGGACATCATTTTTGAAGCTTGCTCACAGATGTGGAATAGAACTATTGCTACAGATAATTTGCATTACTGAATTACCTCCATATTTTTAGGAAGTGTGTATTTCGATATAGAAGTAGAGAAATTTACCTTTGATCCAGGGTTCTAAATGATGTTTACCTGTATTCTGTTTTCAGAATAACTCCCATCTTCAGAATATCCAGTGTGAGTGGTGAGAACCTGGACTTGCTGCGGCGGTTCCTGAACGTGCTGCCCCCTCCACACTCAGGCAAGGAGCAGGAGCAACTCATGCAGGAGCTTACAGAATACCAGGTCAGGTCTTGGTCTTCAATTTCTTATGGCCATGTCTGAAACTTAGTTTTTTTAGACATTAGGCTTGAAGGTTTTAGCATGCTATGAATAGCGGGTCTAAAAGATTGTGAAGAAAAGTTTAATTGCTTAGGTATCATAATGCCATTGTGTTGTCAGTGTATTCCTGACATTTCCTTACAACAGTACAAGATTTTTTCTTACTCGAGGTGGTGTTTTGGTTTTTTAAGGGTTTCATAAGATAACATACTGAACTCTGTACTGATCTCTCTTCTGTTAGGTTGATGAGATGTACACTGTGCCAGGGGCTGGGACTGTGGTGGGAGGGACACTGTACCGCGGAGTGGCACGGGAGGGAGACAGCCTGCTCATCGGGCCTAACGAGGCAGGCAGCTTCCTTCCTGTTTCGGTCAACACTGTCCACAGAAACCGGGCACCCTGCAGAGTGGTCAAGGCAGGCCAGACGGCAACTCTAGCTCTTGGAGATGTGGACAGGACTGTTCTCAGAAAGGTATGCTTGTTTCTGGTTGTTTCTAGCCCTTTTTTATGATTTCTAGATGATACTTCTGTCCCCTATGAGCTGCCGTAGCCACCATGTGCTATGTTCAACTTCTTGTGTGTAATGTTGTGTGATTGTGCTACAGGGCATGGT